AAAATATGCAGGGAATGATCCCAATCTTTTGGTACCGGTTGAGACCTGATTTGTGACCTAGGATGTGATCAATTCTGGAGAATGTTCCATGGGCACTAGAGAAGAATGTGTATTCCATTGCTTTGGGATGGAATGTTCTGAATATGTCTGTGAAGTCCATTTGGTCCAGTGTGTCATTTAAAGTCTTTATTTCCTTGTTGTTCTTTTGCTTAGGTGATCTGTCCATTTCAGTCAGGGGGGTGTTCAAGTCCCCCACTATTATTGTATTGTTGTCAATGTGTTTCTTCGCTTTTGTTATTAATTGCCTTATATAATTGGCTCCTCCCATGTTCGGGGCATAGATATTTACAATTGTTAGATCTTCTTGTTGGATAGAACCTTTAAGTAGGATATAGTGTCCTTCCTCATCTCTTATTACAGTCTTTGGCTTAAAATCTAATTTGTCTGATATAAGGATTGCCACCCCAGCTTTCTTTTGGTGTCCATTAGCACGGTAAATGGTTTTCCACCCCCTCACTTTCAATGTGGGGGTGTCTTTGGGTCTAAAATGAGTCTCTTGCAGACAGCATATCGATGGGTCTTGTGTTTTAATCCAATCTGATAGCCTGTGTCTTTTGATGGGGGCATTGAGCCCATTTACATTCAGGGTAACTATTGAAAGGTATGAATTTAGTGCCATTGTATTGCCTGTAAGGTGACTGTTACTGTATATTGTCTCTGTTCCTTTCTGATCTGTGCTGCTTTTTGTCTCTCTCTTTGCTTAGAGGCCCCTTTCAATATTTCTTGGAGGGCTGGTTTCGTGTTTGCAAATTCCTTTAGTTTTTATTTGTCCTGGGAGCTTTTTATCTCTCCTTCAATTTTCAATGAGAGCCTAGCTGGATATAGTATTCTTGGCTGCATATTTTTCTCGTTTAGTGCTCTGAAGATATCATGCCAGTCCTTTCTGGCCTGCCAGGTCTCTGTGGATAGGTCTGTTGCCAATCTAATATTTCTACCATTGTCGGTTACATATCTCTTCTCCCGAGCTGCTTTCAGGATTTTCTCTTTGTCTCTGAGACTCGTAAGTTTTACTATTAGATGTCGGGGTGTTGACCTATTTTTATTGATTCTGAGAGGGGTTCTCTGTGCCTCCTGGATTTTGATGCCTGTTTTCTTTCTCACAATAGAGAAGTTCTCTGCTATTATTTGCTCCAATATACCTTCTGCCCCTCTCTCTCTTTCTTCTTCTTCTGAGATCCCAATTATTCTAATGTTGTTTCGTCTTATCGTATCGCTTCTCTCTCGAATTCTGCCCTCGTGATCCTGTAGTTGTTTCTCTCCTTTTCTCAGCCTCTTTATTTTCCATCATTTGGTCTTCTATATCGCTGATTCTCTCTTCTGCCTCATTTATCCTAGCAGTTAGTGCCCCCATTTTTTATTGCACCTCATTAATAGCCTTTTTGATTTCGACTTGGTTAGCTTTTAGTTCTTTTATTTCTCCAGAAAGGGTTTCCCTAATAACTTCCACGCTTTTTTCAAGCCCAGCTAGTATCTTTAAAGTCATGATTCTGAACTCTAGGTCCGACATCGTACTAATGTCCATATTGAGTAGGTCCCTGGCTGACGGTACTACCTCTTGTTCTTTTTGCTGAGGTGATTTTTTTCATCTTGTCATTTTGTCCAGAGGAGAATAGATGAATGAGAGAACAAAATGCTAACAGGTTAACAATGTCCCCAGCAGGTATACTCTATACAAATCAGAAAAGACCTGAAAGCAGGGGAAAAGAAAGGGAAAGAAATAAAAAAGAAAGAGAAAAGAAAGGAAGAAAAAAAAAACAAAAAGAAAAAGATTAAAAACAAAAACAGAACAATACAAAAAAACCCGAATATGATCAAATATGATCAGGCTAGTGCATAGATCAGTGCCACACACTAGATTTTGGGCGTATTTTGGTCTGTTAGAAGAAAGTGCCTCCTAAAATTTTAAAGGAAGAAAGACATATATGTACAAAATAAGGGTTGATACAATGAAGGGCTGGAAGATGACTGTAAAGATGAAAACTATAAAAGATTTTATAAAAGGAATTGATACGATAAGAAGTTGTTTGAAAAAAGAAAGAAGAAGATTTAAAAAAAAAAGGGAGAGAATGTGATCAGGCAGGAGACTAGAACAAAGCCATACACTAGTGATTTAGGGTATATTTTTATCTGTTAGAAGAAACTGTATCTCAAAATTTTAAAGAGAGAACAACTTATATATATATATGCCAAAAATAAGGGTAACTACTATGAAGGGATAAAAGTATGACTCTAAAAAGGAAAAATAAAAAAAAATTTTTTTTAAAAAGGGGATTGTTAAGATGTTGGTTGAAAAAGGGAAAAAGAAATTAAAAAAAAGTTAAAAAAATTAACTTCGAAAATCTAATGAATCATGGTAAAAAAAGCCATGAATTCTATGTGCAGTATTCCCCTAGCGCTGGAGTTCTCCCGTTCTCCTTGATCGGTAAACTTGGTCTTGGCTTGCTGGCTGTTCGTGCTGATCTTCTGGGGGAGGGGCCTGTTGCCGTGGTTCCTAAATGTCTTTGCCGGAGGCGGAATTGCCCCGCCCTTGTGAGTTCGGGCTAAGGAAGCTGCATCGGTTTGCTCTCAGGAGCTTTTGTTCCCTGCAAGCTCTCGGTACAGCTTTGGAGGACCAGGGTGAAAATGGTGGCCTCCCAATCTCCGCCCCAGAGGAGGCAAGAACTCAGGGCTCCGCTCCCCAGTGCACCCCCAGAGAAAAGCAGTCACTCCCGTGTCCCCGGTCTCCGGCCGCACTCCGTGCTCACCCGGCCTGTGACAGAGCGTTTCTATCTCTGGCACCCGACCCCGTGTGGAGTCTCCAAACCCAGCCGATCCCTGCGGTACGGTCCCGCGCCGCTCCTCCCAGGGGAGGAAGGGGAGTCTCCCCGGCTCTGCCGCTTGTTGGGTCCCTGCTGGAGGAGCAGTGGCCCGACTGGGTCGCGGATCACAGTTTATGGCCACCCCGAGCTGAGGGCCCGCGCCTCGGCTCCGTCTCTGCAGCCGGCTTCCCCGCTCTGATACCCAGGAGCTCTGCTGCACTCAGGCACCCCCGGTCTTTCTGTGACCCCGAGGATCCTGAGACCACACTGTCCCGCGAGGGTTCCACCCCTCACTTAGCCACTAGAGCGACGTCCCTCCGCGGAGCCAACTTCTAAAAGGTCCGATTTTGTGCTCCGCGGCTCTAGCACTTGCCAGAAGCGGCCGACGGAGGCCCCCTCCCCCGCCGTCTCTCCTCCCGAATATCGCCTCGGATTCACTTCTCCGCACGTCCTACCTTCCAGTAAGTGGTCGCTTCTCTGTTCAGAGAGTTGTTGCTACTCTCCTCTTCGATCTCCTGTTGAGTTCGTAGGTGTTCAGAATAGTTTGATCCCTAATTCAGCTGAATTCCTGAGACCAGAAGAAATCCAGGTCTCCTACTCCTCCGCCACCTTGCTCCGCCTTGTTGTATCTTTCATGAGAATGGAAATGACATAGAGGAAAAGGGAAATATTTACTGGGGGACATCGATGGGTTTTGGGGCTAGGCTGTATTACAGTTCATTGGGGTGGGTCTTAGTATCCTAATTTTGCTCAGAAAAGCCAAGTAAGGTACCTAAGCACACAGCTAGTAAGGAAGGATTTAACCCCAGGTCCACACGACACAAAGCACAAGCTCTTTGACCGCGTGGCACAATCAGGATCAGAGAAAGTCAATTATGGATTGAGTTCCTACAATCTATGATGATGATGATGACGAGGAGGGCGAGGAAGAAACAATAGAGTACAACCCCGTTAAATTGTGACCCATGTGGTTCAGTCCCAGAAAGGAGGCACCTCAGAAGAAACACAATCTGCCACCAAAAAAATAATTTTATTATAATTCAAGGTTTTTACATAGATTTCTCTACAATCGTGAGGGAATTCACAATCAAGAGAGGAAGACAGATGTGAATTGGATTCAGCATCCTAAATGCTACCATGTCGGGCAGACAGGGACAGGCAAACAGAGAGTCTGGACAGTTCGGTCCCTTGTGGATGAAAGCAAGGGCTTGCCTCATCTACCCGACCTGCTCTCTACCATGCTCACCTCACCTGCTGCAAGTCTTTCTCTTGGTGTTGCCTCAGAGTCCCAAGGTGGTTGCAGAAGTTCAAGGAGTACAGCATCCCCAGCAGGAAGGAAGGGGAGGAGCCTTCTTCCCATAGCAGTCAGGGAAGAAGATCTTTCTCAGAAACACCCAGCAGATTTTCCCTTATATCTCATCGGCCAGATGGGTTATCGGCCCATCCCTAGACCAGTGAGCTGGATGGCTTCCATTCAGCCCTCGGATCAACACTGTGCTCTAAAACATTCCATGTAGACCAGTAAAGGACTACCAGTAAGGACTTCAAGGTTGCCATCTTCCCCGCCTGGTTTCAGCCACTGGGGGATCCCAGCAGAAGGTCGGAGGGAGAGAGACAGTGATGGGGCAAGGGGGCGTCTTCCCTGACATCTTCCTTGAATGTGACCTCAGGCTGGCTGTGGACTTCGCTCCTCTCAAGAGGGTTCCCCCTGCCTGACTCTCCTCAATTCTGTGATGACCTTCCTGATCCCTTTGGCCACGGGAAGGTAACAGTTCTGTGGCTGCAAGTCTGTGGTTGTTTCATGACCCCTTGAACGGCCGTGTATGCCATCTCTGTCCGGAAGCTTCAGAGAGAGAGTGGCAGTGGAGCAACAGCTAGAAACCCACCCCGGGGTCTCCACCCTCTCCCTCTTTTCTTACTTCATCCGTTTTCACCTGTGGGCAGTTTATTCTCCCGACTCAGCGTCGCCAGGATGATTTAGAATCTCAAGCTATGTATCAGTGGCTTTTGAAGTGTCGTCCCTGGACCAGCAGACTCCAGGATCTGGGAACTTGTTAGAAATATAAATGCTCAGGCCCCCTCCAGACCTGCCGAAGCAAAGACGGGGTTTAACAAACTCCCTGGAAGATTCTGGAGTGCATCATGGCAAGAGAAGCGCAGCTCTGGGCGCTGGCTGACAGGGCTGGTCGCCTGCTCACGTCATTACCAGCACCCTCCTGGCTAGTGGAATCAGCTAGTGTTGTTTCAGGTGAGGAACACCCTTCTCAAGCAAGTTATTTCAGGGCAAGAGCTGGAGAGGTCTTGTTTTCCCCCTCCCTCCTTTGGTCCTTTTCCTCTTTAGCAGCCTGCACTACTGGGGTTCACAGAACTGCTGCTGAAAAGTGGGAATTGGGGATAGCAAAAGAAGAGAGAAGGAGATTGTACAGAATCTGTATAATCTGGGATCTGGTTAAAACGCCAATTCTGGTCCAGCGCGTCTGGGTGGGTCCTGAGACTGCATTTCTAACAACCCCCACATTGCTGTCAAAATTGCTGATCCCTGGACTCACCAACCACCTCTTCTTTACCTACTTACGTTTGGAGTCAAAACTGAGACCCGGTTGCTGCTGAGCACTGCTGTCGCACGGACGGTCTCGGGCCCAAGTGCATCAACCTCCCTCGGGGCTTAGGGAAACACTGATCGCTGGGCCCAGCCCCAGAGTTGCCCCTTCAGCCCCGGAAGAGGTGAGGCTGGATAATTTGCATTTCTAAGTGCCCCAGGTGATGTAAATGATGCTGACCATTTAAGAACCCGTGATCCAACAGAACTTCGTCTTTGCTATTTCATAGCATTAAGTGATAAAGATAGCCTTTATTTATTCCGGCTGCGATGATTCCAGGTGCTGAAAATTTTAAAAGACAATTATTTCTTGTTTCACAAAACCCCCAGCGCGGGGAGGGCCAGACCCCGCCCACCTGAAATGTAATCCAACCGCACCACCTGCTGGTCATTTTAGGACGTGCACCAGGCGTCTGGCCGTCCTGGGCGAAAATCGCTCTCTGTAAATTGACCTTGGCAAACGCAATAGGACACTAGACAAGAACCACCACCTTCCTCGCCTTTATTTCTTTAGGAAATAAATATGATTCATGTATTTAAAAAATAGTCCCCCAATTCTCACCTAAATGGTGCCTGGCCCATGGTAGTAAACGTGTTGGCTAACATTAACTAATTTTGCAATATGCCCAGCATCTACACTTGGGCAATTGGTGTGAACTCTACCGGCCCTCATGATTCCTATGGAAAACCGAGGTGCAGGGCACTTAAGGAACTTGCTTAAAGTAATTGATGGAGACGGAATTCCAACCGGCTCTGAATCTCCATGCTATGCTCCCTCACAAAAAATCGTTGGAAGAAGTGCCTAGTAAATATGTTTTAGATTAGCTGATTCACCTCTCCTAGAAATTTAGCACTAGAATGTGCTTTCAATGCAAACTGTTTCATCCCCTTATTTTTATAAAGAAAAAAAATGGGGCACAGAGTGGTGAAGTAACTTGCCTAAGATCACACAACAACATGGTGACAGATCAGCAAGGTCACTGGGCTCCTTGAGCCACCCACACACTCAGCAGCATTTACTGAGGGTAGATTGCCAGGTGTCCAGCACCGGGCTGTGCCCCATGGGGAAAGCAGAGTTGTGAATATGCCCCACCCCTGGACAATTAGGGGCTCTGATTATATTATACTCTGATTCTAGAGATAATGACTTAACTCGTTAAAAATATATAATCAAGGGCCCACTACAGTCTCTATTCCACCATTTAAAAAATTATTCTGTAGGGGCACCGAGGTGGCTCAGCTGGTTAAGCATCCGACTTTTGATTTTGGGATGGGTCCACACTCAGCAGGGAGTCTGCTTGAGATTCTCTCTCTCCCTCTTCCCCTCCCCCTGCTCGCAGGCTCTCCCTCGCTCTCTCTCAAAATAAATAAATAAATCTTTTAAAAAATTATTTCCTAGTCATTCCAATAAGCTATTAACATTTTTGACACATAATATTTACATTATTATTTACTCCATATTTTTCCTGTGATCCATTCATTTTGTTTTTATGTGTCCTTGTCCTAAATAATATTTCTTAGTCATATGTATGACATTACTTGATAAGTTTGTTGTTTTATTTATTCATTTAAAACACACAGGATTCATTTGTGTAATGCCTAAAAGCATCTTGCTCTCCACCACTGACAACCTCCCGTGTTTTGGGGAGAATCGGCTGGGCCGTTGGTAGCCCTGGCTATGTGCCAGAATCTGTCTTGACAATGACATCTGTAGGTCGTGTGATGTGGAACATCACACTCATTAAGACTCATCACACTCAGTGGGGCATTACCCTCACTGAACCCTGGTTTTATCATCTGAAAAGTGGGATTAGTATCATTTCCTATCTGATATGGCTATTATTGGGATCAGGTGAGATAATCCAAGCCAGAACTTCACAAGATGCCCCAGACATAGCAATGATCCAATCAATGTCAGCTATTATAATGAACAATAATAATTGCTCTTATGAAGTGTTACGTTGTATTTTTTTAAATGAAGATCCATGAATCTCCAGGCTAGCTATACATCTGGCACTTCATCATTTTCTTTGAGAATCTATTTTGAAAGAAGGAACTGTGTTACCCATTTAACAGCTGGACACACAGAGGTGTGAAAAGGTCCTTATTGTGAATTCCCTAAAATTTTTGTACAACTCAGTGGGAATATGGGCATTTTCAAGTCTTGAAATCACTACGAGATCTTCATTCTTATTTATTTTTGAAATTTCTGGGTTGGGAGTTTATGGTACTAAAGAGGAGCCTACTTTTTCTGTATCAGGAAACAAACCACGAATCCTTTTTTTTTTTTTTTTTTAGATTTTATTTATTTGACAGAGAGAGACACAGTGAGAGAGGGAACACAAGCAGGGGGAGTGGGAGAGGGAGAAGCAGGCTTCCCGCGGAGCAGGGAGCCCGACATGGGGCTCGATCCCAGGACCCTGGGATCATGACCTGAGCCGAAGGCAGACGCTTAACGACTGAGCCACCCAGGTGCCCCCAAACCACGAATTCTTAATGCTTAAGGAGCTGGACTCTACTTAAGTGAGGACGGTTTCCTCCATGATTCATGAAGGACACTTCTCCTGCTCCAAGAATAAATTGTTCACATGGAGAAACCACTTAGAATTCAGAAAGTCTTCAATCTATCCAGGAGGAGAAAATTCATTGTGACTGTATTCTTCGGGCTTTTGATGCCACAGATATAAAAATAAGGCAGGCTTCCAACGCAGAGGAGGACCTTATGACCCAGAGCGTTTAAGTAATCATACACAAACAGAAAAAGCCAGAATTATTGAAGCAGATTCCGATTCAAGCTACAAATCCTGTTCAATGGGAGGTACTGTTCTCTCCTCAAGGGAAGGTTGAGTGAAAGTGAATGGTTCCAGACAAAATCAGAAAAACACACTCCATTTCTTCCTCCCCACAGCTGGTTATGGGGTGGAATTACATGCCTGTGAGCCAGCTTGGGGGAAGAGGGGAACAATACTGCAATTGAAAGAACACTGTGTTTTGCATACATGTTTGCTTTAATGATATGCTTACTGTTTCTGCTTGTACGTATTAATTGATCTCTGGTTATAAATGCCCCAGCAAATTGGCAAAGCGGCATTCTCTGCCGCCACCGAAATAGGAAGAAGTGAGAGCCTGACACAGCTCCCTCCTACAGGGATTCTCATCCTGATGTACATTGAATGAGCTGAGTCATATTAAAATAATACAAAGTACCTCCACCCGTGTTCGCCTGGGACCTTTGGAAACTTAATCCCTGGGAGGGCAGCCCAGGTGACTCCAGTGTGCAGCAACCCTGAGCCAGCTGACAGGTGGGAGGGACAGCGCAGCTCTCCATCATGAAGCAAGCTGAGCTTGCATGCTCCTCAGAGAGATGCGCTGAGTGAGGCTGCGGGTCTGCCTGGGGAACATCAGGCATCGGAGCAGGACTTGGTCCAATGCCAGCCCGACTCTGATTGGCTGCCTGCCTTCAGGCCTCTTCTGGAAACTGCCTGCACCTCTCCCCGAACTTCTGTTCTGTGAACCGAGCACAAGAACTCAATCTACTAATGTTTTACAGCATCAATATTGTGGCTCACGAGAAATATTTTTTTAGAAGACCAGAATCGGATGCAGTAGAATATAATTGAAATAAAATGTATCACTCAGAGTAAGCAGAAGCATTTTTTTTCAGGTGTGTGTGTATGCACCTGCACACATTTCTAGGAACAGGGTCCTAATGAAAAATGTATGTCTTTTTTTAAAAGATTTATTTATTTATTTATTTATTTATTTATTTATTTATTTATTTATTTATTTATTTTAAGGAGAAAGAGGGAGTGCAGAGGGGAGGGGCAGAGGGAGAGTCTGAAGCCAACTCCACGCTGAGCACAGAGCCCGATTGGGGCTCAATCTCACAACCCTGAGATCATAATCTGAGCTGAAACCAAGAATCCATTGCTCAATGGACTGTGCCAGCCAGACGCCCCCCCAAAAATGTATGTCTTGATTGTAAGTGACCATCAGTAAAGTTTGAAAGCTTCTGATCTCACCTCCAGGGTTTTGGTGAGGGTTAAATGAGATAATGCTGTGGGGCATGTCACATATGAAGCACTACATAAATTCGGTAGGTCGATGGGTAGACAGATGGGTTGATTGACAGGCAATCTAAAGCACAACACGCCAAATTCAGTGTATAGATGACAGAAACAGTGGGATGAAAGTGTGACCACTTCGACTGTGGTACCACAAGTGGTAGAATTGGAAGGTCAGTATTCCTAAGAGAGCATGATTTCCAAAGGGACTTGAACCCTCGGTTAATTCCCTGATGTAAGGAATGGGAATTTGTCCCCCTCTCCTCCTCCATTTAGAGTCAAGAAATGTCGCATCGCTTCTTTTTTTCTTTCTCAAATGAATCCAGCTGCAAATCTTCACCAACTTGATGACCGAGAAATTCAGTCTCAGTCCTGGTTATGGGGTTTCTGCTTTTTTTTTTTTAATAATCATACAATATTAGAAAATGATAATAATAATATCATAGCTGCTATTTATGAACTTTATTATGTTCCAGGCACTGTGCTAAGCACTTAAACATACTGTATTGTTTAATCCTACTTATGAGGTAGATACTATTATAATCCCTATTTTATAGGTGGGAAACGGGCTTCAGTGTCCCCAAG